TCAATATTATTTGCAGGTAATTTTGTCTTCCTATGCATGTAAGGATAGAAATCTTGATTGATTATAAAGCAGCTCCTTTTTAGAATAAAATTTTTCTTTATAGTGGACTTCTGAATTGTTTTAGAATGTCTGTACTCAACAATGATGTCTTAACCAGTTCATGTTCTGAGACCCAGAACATTTCAGACTAAGATAAGTTTTATGGTAAACATTTTTTTTCTCCAAAATATCTGTCAGTTTTTCACTATTGGGATAAAAATAGCAAAAAGTTACTTACCAAGAGGAGTTACTATGAACCTAGTCCCTCTTGCAAAATATCTTGGTCCAACCTGTGCTTTTCCATAGTCCACCATGTCTTTATAAATCTCAACCACCTCCTAAGCTTCATAACTTGACCAGCAACTTCATAACCTTATCCTAGTATCAATCTTCTGGGTTCCTCTGGACATCCTCGAACATAGGTTTTGTAGCTTCTGAAAGTTTTAAAGTTTTCTCATAAACTGACCTCCTAAACTGTCCATTTCCACAGAGGCAGTGACCATTGGAAAAGACCAAAGAAAAAGGAAACAGTAAGATCAAAAAAAGGAGAGATCTGGGACATCTGGTCAACCAACTACTTGTCTTAGTTACTAGCAAAAAAATTCTGAGAAGTCTTTTTTTTTTTCAATTGTTTGTTTTTATTTTACATTTCCAGGTGTTCCATTGTGTTGAAACTGCTTGGAGATCCCATCAAAGGAAAGGGGTTTATATTCTCATTGATTTAGGAATAAATTTCTGAAAAGACGAAGTTCTTTAGTAACTGAAAATGAAATTGTGCCAACATAACTAAGAAATGTCAACCAATGTCTTCATTTTCAATAAAGCCACATTTACCACGTAGGAGAAAGATTCATTATTGAGACAATGCCAGATGTTGAAATAAGTTTGTGATGATTTTTTGGGGGGGGGGAGGTATAATAGAATAAAATTTAGAATTCTATCTTCTGTGAAATTATGGATTCTTTATTTAAGCTAGAATGTGGAAAAAATTCTAGGCCTATGATATGTTGAAAGAAAACACCTCTCAGAAGTAGTTCTGTGATCTTAAGTCTCGTATCTCAGAGTGTAGAAGAAGAAAATTGGCAGAATAAGCCAAGTCTTCCTCACATGAGCACAGATGCCCTAGTGACCCTGGTGACCACTCCAAACGCACTCTTTCCTGGCCAAAGTTCTAAAAGGAGACCTAGCCTCTGCCTCTATGCTTAGAGAAATGAGTGGAGTCATGGTGGAAGAGTTCATTCAGAGCAATTCACAGCTGCTAGCCCAATTGGAGAGCATAAGAAAATGGGATTAAAAACTATGCTTGAAAAAGGTTTGTCAATATCTAAATAGTATTACTTATTTATTGGAAATAAGATGTTGTATTTAAATGGAATGTTGATTCCCCTTTGCATGTTTAGTACACATGACTGATGCCCGCTCAGTCCCTTTCATCCACAGTTTTTCTTATTCCAAATCCAAGGGGAAAATAATCAGAACCCCTAAGAATCATCTGTATTTCCAGAGCTATAAGATATTAGTAATAAAATACAAAGGAATTATTAATGAATCACAAAATCCTTAATAAATTATAAGAAAATACAAATTAAGAACATACAAT